CTGAACACTTAACCCATCCCATTTCTGACTCCACTGAATTCGATCATTACATTTGGAATATTATAATAACGATAATGGGCTGTTTATATGTAACAGCGGTTGAATTGATGTAGATAATAGCATTATCTGATAAGACTTCTTGATATTTCCTCAGATGATTATTCAGTTTATATTTGCGTTTGACGGATTTCATTCAAACAGTACCAATCGCTATACGTTATCCTCAAAATATTCTTCTTTCTGGCGATCCATCATCTTCCATATGAGTTCATCTGACCGGCGCGATTCCGGACTTTTTATCAGTTTGCTTAGATTAAGATAGATTTGTGTTCACACAATTATTTGATAGCAATTTGCCGCCGTTCTGCATCATTCCACCATGCGAATTCAATAGACCAAGCAATCAGCAATCATCATAACACCATCGATTCATACACATCCATCCACATTTCCACATCATAGTCGTTCACCTCATCTTACACTGTTGCACTCCGCTCATCATTCAAATAACCGCAGCATTCAGGATTGCTTCTCACGTTAGAATATTGTCATATTATATATAATATTTGATTTGAATCTAGTTTATAACATACTGGAACGCGTGCACCAATTACGCGTCTTCTTGTCAGCAAATTAGCACGACGATTACGTTGGTTGCTGACTCCCGCACGCTGTATAATCGTCTGATTGGCACGCTGGTTTATTGCTTTCTGCAATCCACACCAAATCATTCTTGAATTTCATTCAGTACATTATGGAACAATCTTCAGAATTTAATAAAATGTATTAAAACGCAACAGATTTGCTTAAGAGCAAATACGATAGACGTTCAACTATATCTAATGAACATACCTTAACAAGCTTTTGTACCATTCGCATTGTTGCCACTTTATTAAGATTATTGTTAGATGATCTTAAAGATCTTTGAGAATTGTTAGTATTATTCTTATTGATAGATGTTTGAGGTTTAGTACGATTATTCCATGACGACGACGATGCTCCTCGCATGCCACCCTGAATTAATATTCTATTGGTTTCCATTTGTTATCAATAAATCGAAATATTTTTGTAAAATTTCAATTCGAACTGAAATAAAACTACATAAAACAAAACATAATATAACACGATCAGCACTGAACGACTCACTCTGATATTGCGACGCATTCCAACACCTCTTTTGACTCCAACAGCACCTCTTTTAGACGCGAAACCTCTCCTTGCTGCAGGAGTACGTTTGTTACGATCTGCTCGTTCTTTTTTGATGATATCATCTGGAACATAACAATTCCAGTTGCTCACATAATGGCAATAATCAAAACCACAACTTTCAAACAAAATCAGAACCAGAATCAGATTCAACTCTTTCCTCTCAGATACCCATAACCTATCGTGAAATCGTGAACGAACAAATCATTCCAGAATCTCGAATCTCGATGAAGAACTCACCTAACGACATATTCACTTTATTGTCAACCATGTTCACTTCTATGTTGTGTTCAATTAAAGATGATCAGAACCGTTCTCAATTTCACTATGAATGAATGAATCAACACCACAAGTTGTTGCTGAAATTAAAATTTACCAAATTAAACTATCAAATTTTTGACACAAATTTGAGCAAACGAAATGCAACGCATTATTCGCATATATCCGTAAAATACACAAGGTAAATAACAATATTCACGCTGAATTACAACACAATCAAGCACCGCAATCAGAACAATTCACCCAAAAAAAGGGTAATGTTGTATTTCAGGTTGGTAAAATCACAGCGGCATTTCGTTCGTGCGAATATCTCTTGCTATGCTTTAACTGAGTAACATATTCAACTACGAATCAGAACGAAATGCATTTTGATCTTATCAACTCAAAATACAAAATTACCGAAGGCTACTGCCCCAGCAAACACCTGATTAGTTCTCGAAAAAATTCAATACAATCACAGAATGAGACCCGCACACGACGCGCCAGAACAGTAGCTCTCTCTCGGAAAATCAATCAATACACAATGATTAAACAAACTCTATAGAGAGTAATCGCCAAAACCGTTGTAGTGCTAGAATATAGCTGTGATCAGTCTAGATCTGCTGTATACAAGGGCACGAAAATAATCATCCACTGATCTTGGTCTAGATCACTCCTTGAGGTTGAATTAAACAGGTTGGAGGTCAGGTAAACACGACCAGGAACTAACATCATATTGATACTAGGCTACATTGTACTACTGAATAGCGCATTTACCATCGTTGTTTGATAACAAATCTAAGAAATGAGGTACACTTTCAATTAGCAACAAATTTTCTGTATGAAACCCCCATAAATGGTCGAAAAACCTACATGAATGGTGAGAATAACACAAGCTTGATCAGTAAAATCG